AAGAATTTTTTTTCGTTATCAAATCCCTTATATGAATTGTTTTAGGCCATAGCATGAATATTTTTTAGGGTTAATTGACGTGCATGAATTGTTTTTCATTTAATTTTTCCTAGCGCGAATATATATTTTTTTTGTACCTCGCCGTTCCCCCCCCCCCACCCCTTCCCCCACAACTCCATCCCATAAGTTTTCTAATGGTCCGTCCCTTACAGTTTTCATGACTTGAGATAATGTAGTACAAAACCTTTTGAATTAAAGCAGTAAATGTTTACCAGCCCTTTTCACTCATCAGTTTTTTTAAAGGCAGGGTAAACAAACCAAAACGCGGCATAAGCAAAGAACGATTGGAATTCTAAGCCAAGTGACATCAGAATTCGCACATTAACATTGCAATTTTGCTTGGATGTTCATGCGTCGCTGATTTTCTTTCGCCGCGTAGATGAAATAACTAAAACAGAAAACAATGCCACTCTATTTTGGTCAACAAACCACTTTGTTCAGTCAATAAAATATGAAGAATATTAATCATAACTCAGTACTGCATGTATCGCGTCCATGCATCTTCGTGTCATTACGGGATTTTGTATTGACACCAGAGACGTAAATAAAAACAAAACAAAATCAGGCTAATGAAATGAGGGAAAGACTGGAATCGAGGGCGCAACGGAAATCGAGACTACGCTGGGCACCGCCTTCACAAAGTATTATTTAACACCCTCCTTTTACGTCATCACGAAATTTCACGAGCTTAATTAATGGTTCATAATATACGTGACTTTAGTCAAGAGTAAGCTTGATTCTTGCTGCTTATTAATATCCCAGTTTTTGAGATGCTGCGTCGAAGAATCCTTACATGTTCTATGCGAGAGGTAAGTAAACTTAATTCGAATGTATATAAACCGCTTCTTCAATTCTGTTCTACGAGACTTCACGCCAAATTGCAGTTAGCAATTTATCATGAAACAAATAGCTGAAAGCAATATTTATTTCTACCTTCGACATCTCATTGGAATTACGTTTTGAAAAAGAGAAATAATTCAATTTTCTAGTCTCTCCTAGATAACGACTAATGAATGAGAAAAGTATTTTGTCCTTATGACTTAAAATAGCGACGAAAAAATGAAAAACTGTGTGAAATGTGTCTTAATTCCTTGCACAAGCTTGAGTACTCCTTGTAAACTGCAAACACAGCCGTCGCATCTCGCCACTCGAAACGTTCCACAACAGCGACGGCTGTACTGCAAGGCTTACTCCTTGTCGGCAAGAAATAAATGACCACTCGGTGGATAAAAAAGCTCGTACTATTACGTTACGTATTATTTTGATCAGCAATCGTTTTGTTTATTGACCTCACGCTAGCTTGTATGATTGTATGACGATGCCTTTTAAAATTATAAATTCAGGCACGTCAATATCCTCTTTTAAATAAATATTGATTGATGGTCGCTATAATTATAATATCATTGACAAATTACATCGATTGCACATTTTTTGATAGGCAGTGTTAATGAAACGGTGTCACAAATATGACACTGACATGAATCTAGTAATATTATTCTTTGTTTCTCTAATTTTATCGTGACAAATTAGAGTCCTTTTAAGCAAAGATTTCGTAAAAAGCTGAAGTACTGAAAAGCATCTAAAAATCAACTCTGATAAATCCAACAACGGATTCGTTGAACCTGTTAAATTTTAGAAAACAGTATGAGCCAGACTATTGTTTTAAAAAAAGGTAAAATTTTACGAAAATATAAATTAGGCCTCAATACAAAATTAAGTCCGTACTATATAATTTTAAAACGTATGTCAGGAAAGGCAACAAAAAGATTTAACAATGGAGGTAATAAAAGAGGCCCAAAGCTGGAAATTATCCTTTTGAGAGGAAGAAATTTCTACAATAAAGCTGCCATAGTTGATGTACCTTTACAGTGACCCTAGAATTGAATTGGCTTTTATTTTTGCAGGTGGTGTGATATTTGTATATTTAATGTAAGAAATAAAGATGTTGTTGTTGTTTGTTGTTGTTGTTATAAAATCTACCTTGTAAAAGGTTTGCACCCAGGAGTCATGGTTTGGTCGTTCGGGTGAACCTAGTCGTGATAGGACTGTTGCATTGTTGTTGACAGTGACTGGCATTTTGACAACCTGTGCGATAGTCATCGTCAGAGTCAAAGTGAGTTGTATAACGTCAGTTGATGGTATTGGTCGCGACATAATTGACCAATCAGATTAATAACCAGACTCTGAAGATGACTACCACACAGGTCGAAAAAACGTCAGTCACTGTGAACAACAACAGTCCTATTCAGGACTACGTTCACCCGGAGGATCAAACTCAGCCTACTTTTGATAATTCACCTTACGGACCGGTCATTATTTATCGCCGGGGAGGGTGAGGGGGTTGCGCGGGGGATTTTAGGGGGGATCGCTTGATTTCTGGGAGACTCAAAATGGGGGGATCATTCGTAACTGAGAACCCAAAAGGGGGGATCGCTAAAAACTTTGGAAGGATAATCAGAGGGGGGACCACTCAAATTTGCTTGGAAAATGAAGACATGTAAAGGGGATCACGAAAGCCATCAAATGTTATTAGGGGGGATCACTTCAGTGAAGTAACATTCAAATGGGGGATCGGCTAATTTTCACCTTGTTTAGCTCCAAATCCTCCGCCTCCAGCCCCCGGCGATGAATAATGACCGGTCCCTTATTTGCAAAACAAAGCGGAATTAAAAAGAATGGCGATGTTCAGTTGAGAAAAGTCCCAATTCTTACTTGCCAGCTCTAACGAAAGGTGAAAACTATGAAATTGTTTTAATGAGACCCAGTAACACAATTGGTCAAGTCGCTCAGAAGAAAAATGAAGAATCAAGAAAGTTTGGGACTTATATATGGCATTTCCATGAAAAGTACTTCACACAGGGTCCTAACTTTTTATATATGGGAGCTATGAAGGTAACCAAGACCTTCTTTCTAGGGCCTACTCTTCTTCCCCTCCCACAGAGACCCTGGGGACAAGGTTTGAAAGCCATTTCACAACGTTACGGCGTTTTGCTCACGGCGTCCCACCTCCTAGACCGCCACTATCACATTGTCACTTTACTGATACTTTTACTGACCGACTACACATAAAGCCCAGGCACAAGTTTTTTTAGACGTGAATACCGCTATCTACTGGGTAGTAGAATTGGTTTCTCTAATACTTATCTGCTGGATAGTGATTTATCCGGTGGATAGCGCTGTCCAGCGCTTGAACACTGCAGCTAGTCAGTAAGCAACTCTTATTCATATTGTTGGTCACGTGTTCCAGAATCGACCATAATCGAAAGCAAGCAATACTCTGAGACATTATCACTGAATTACCAATGAAATAAACATCCGCCTTGATTATATATTAGTATTTAGTATANGGTAGTAGAATTGGTTTCTCTAATACTTATCTGCTGGATAGTGATTTATCCGGTGGATAGCGCTGTCCAGCGCTTGAACACTGCAGCTAGTCAGTAAGCAACTCTTATTCATATTGTTGGTCACGTGTTCCGGAATCGACCATAATCGAAAGCAAGCAATACTCTGAGACATTATCACTGAATTACCAATGAAATAAACATCCGCCTTGATTATATATTAGTATTTATTCGCTTAACCGTCCTGGGCGCTTACTAAATTTTTGGACCTTGAGGGTGAGTGCTTATTTGTGGTGGGCGCTTATTCAAGGATTTGCGCTTATTAAATTTTCACCATTTTCAGTAAGTGTAGTATGTTTATTTTGCAACAAAACAACAGCGGTAATAACAAACCGCGAAGACGTAACAAAGTAAGGTTTCTGTAAAATACTCTGAAGAAAACTCAGTCTTCGGGAAGTCTCTTATTAGTAGTTATTCAATTGTTTTAGGGTGGGGGGAGGAACAGGGGTGGCGCTGGGCGCTTATTCGAGACTGGGCGCTTATCAACTTTTTCTTCCTTTAGGATGGGCGCTTATTCGAAGTGGGCGCTAATTCGAGGTTGGGCGCTTATTCGAATAAATACGGTACTTGATTTTTTTGTACCATCGGCATGCGGCATGCTTTCCGTGCTGGCATCTTCCTCCTGTGTGTCCTAAAGCAGCCCAATTGTTGAATAGTGCAACTGACAAACTTTATCTCTTTCCGACATTAATGTATTCTCAGATATAAAAGGCAAGCCATTCTAGACTTGAATCGCTCTTTGAACTGACGATGAAGGAAAAGACGCCTGTCAAAAGAGAAAACAACTGGATTTCAGGTAACTAGATGGCCTTCACTGCTAGCGACCTCCCCGAGAGGGCGGGGGGGATGGTGGAGCAGTGAAGTTTCAAGTAATTAAGACTAGGATGGGGAGTGGTCTGGATTAGAGGTATCATTCATAACGAAACATTTAATCATCAGTATGGAGTATTAGTTTTTCAAGGGAAGGGGTGGAAATGTTTAGTTACAACTCGGCTGATTCTAAAATATTAAAACAAAATCTTTCAACGAATATAGACGAGGGTCCATAAGCTAACAAACCGCTGGGCCCATTTCGTTTTGTTGATTGATATTTTATCTTATTATCTGCGAAGAGGTTGAATGTTAACAAAACAGCTTTCCGGACCGAGTAATTTCTAATTTGAACGGTCTCCAGGTCAGACGTCAATAGACAATAGACTAACGTTTGGCGTGGAAAAAACCCTCTTGACTGGGCTCAACGTCAGGACTTTTGTCTAACGTCCGACGCCAGGAATTTTGCAACTAGCCCCGGAGACCAGTTCAGTGAAAAAGCTCTAAACTGAATTTGATAACTTTCTTAGGAATAATTACCTACCTATCCTACTGATATATGCTGATAATAAACAATCAGTTCCAGCGGTGTGATTAACTTCTTAATAGTATCCTTTTTTGTTTATATATTTGGTGTGATTTTATTTAGCTGTATAAAAGACTTATTCAGTTCTAAACACTGTTTTATTTATTTATGTTTTTTTATGCTTTTCCATACTAGGAAAAATGACAACTGAGGATGTTGAGCTTGAAGCCATAAGACCAGAGGCAAAACAAGAAAATGAAGGTGATTCAGATCCCGAAAAAAATCTCCCAGGCTCTATGGAAATATGGAATAATTTCGTCAATGCCACTTCATTACATGGTATTCGATACGTGTTCTGGAAGCGACCACTCTGGGCCAGGATTGGCTGGCTTCTTATTCTCCTGGCATTCACGGCTTACTTTCTGTACACAGCACACAAATCTCTTGTTAAGTATTACAACTGGCCTATAAATACCGTCATAACTCAAAAATATACAGATAAGCTGGACTTTCCAGCTGTATCAATTTGTCCGCTTAATCTTGTAAGTAGGAAAAAGATGTCTGCTCTGGACGGCGACCCCAATTACGTCAAATATGGCCTCAATGACAGTGTTTGTTCTGCCACGGCCGCAGTGCGTGAAGGGAAACCTTGTGGAGCAGCCATGATGTGTTGTTGCTTGAGTTTTATTTTATTTGACGGTGCGAAAATTGTTCCAAACTGCACTCAGGAGTACTCTGAAAGACTCATAGCTGCTCAGCAAAGATCTGGGATTTTTTTCGACACAGGCCGATATTATGAAAAGTACAGTCAGGGAATCGAGGAGATATTGAGTCCTGGTTTGTGTTTTTTCGACACTTCTGAGTGGTGCGGAGTTTTGGATTTCAAAACAACAGTCACCGATTGGGGTATATGCTATACCTTCAACGCTGACCCTAATAACATAAGAAAGGCGCAACTCAATGGAGCTGGAGGAGGTTTGAATATCTTGCTGGACGCTCAAGTCGAAGACCACACAATTGGAAGGCTGTCAGAGGGTTTCACAGTAGTCATCCATCAGCAAGGGGAAACCATCATTCCTTGGGATGGAATCAACGTACAACCAGGGATGCAAGCTTCAATTACATTACACCAACAAAGGGTGAGTACCACTATCAGCACAGGAAAAGGTTTTAGTCGCATATAGCTGCGAGGGTCTTGTTTAATCAAATAAGGATAATAGTCCGCATATTTTGTCATATGGGTTTGAAACCCTTAGTGGCACCCATCTACCAAATCCTGGGTTAAAAGGTTTTAAGACTTGTTTATAGTGGAAAGTGCGCTTGGCTTAATTCCAGCTAATTTATAGGCACTCCTCTCAAATACTTAGAAACAAATAATTCAAATACAACATAACAGGATAAAAAAACCCCAACTGGCACGAGGCAACCAGTTGGCTATTTACAAGCGTGGCCGAGGATTTGAACTCGGGCGACAGAGAACAAATCCAGAAATTGGCCAGAGCGGGACTCGAACATTGAGAGCCCGAAGCACTGACCACTCACCACGCTGCCTCCTAAGTTGAATACCAGTATCCCCTGGAATTTCAATCACGATCACGATCGGAGTTAACTATGCTGGGATAAAGTGCCCCCTGCTCTGTTTTTTAGAGGTTAACGCCCATTGCGAAATAGCTAAGACGGGTTCTTTGGCGAAAGTGCAACTGATTAAAGTGTTGTAATGTCTTGACAGATAATAAATCTTGAGAAACCTTACGAAACAAAATGTGAAAATAGGAAGTTGAAGACAAAGGGAACCTACACAACGAAAAGCTGCTTGTTCGAGTGTATTGCTGAGGCCGTGATGAAGAGTTGTAAATGTCACCCTGCTGAATATGCGGGTATGAGTAATGTCTTTGTTGTTTGCTTGTTTTCTTTTGTTCTCATAACTTGATATAACTAATTCGTCTACGTCACCGCCCTGATCAAGAAGTTGTTAGATTTTCATCTTGGTCAAACCAAGGTCAAACCTTGCACAGTACCCCAACAAAAAAGTATAAGCACCTTCGATCGTGCGTTTCTCCAAAAGAGTAAGGAAGGTAAAACCCGGTAGTGAGGTCAACCTTAAATGTGTGTATGGTAGCTGGTCCCCATCAGCTTGCAAGCTGCCTTAAAATGCAACCGGATTTATTAGATAAAAAAAAATGATGGTGATGTTCATGACGATGATGATGATGATGTCATTGATTAAGCTAATTGAGATTTGGGTTATCGACCTACAGAAATGATGCGTTAACATTCGTCTGAATACTTGACTAGATCGGCATTCTGTAAAGTCTAAATATTCAGTTAGCATATAAATGAGTTGTAATGGTTTGGTTCACTCACTTTTTCAGCAGAGGAGAAGACAATAAGAAGTTGTACTAAAATGGATCAGCCCTGCATTCTCAATACTACATGTAAGAAACCGTACTCTGTACTTTCTAAAGTATAGCCTTTTCTTTTTTCTGAAGTCCGAACGGGAGGTGGGGGTTGGGGTATAAGTAAGAGCCCTTATCGCCATCCGCTACAGGAAGATCATTTATTTTACCAGCCCGCTTTAAGACAGCGAATGATTAAGACTGAAACTGTGGTTTGCAGTGACATAAAGTGGCATGACAGTTTGTGAATGTGTCATGACTGCACCGTCCTGGGTACGAAGCAACAAAGCAAATAATAACAACAAGAAATTAATGGAAATCTTTCATGTTTTATCCTTGGTTTTTTCTTAAGTCTAACCCGTTTTACATGCAGTTGTCCTGTGCTTACGTATGTTTGCACACTGATGCTTAGTCGCCATGTAAAATGGCTTTAAGACGTGAAATCTTACCCGCTTTAAAATCCGTCTGAAAAAACACATATACTACTGAATTTTCAGCCTATTTGGAGACTACACGATGCGACTGTCCAGTCCCCTGTAACGAGACAAGATACACCACTGAGGTGTATTATTCAAGTTTCCCGGATGTGGGCTCTGCAACCGTAATGCAATCACTTGGTTTGAATCGTTCTTTTGATTACATGAGGTACGTATCGTCGACCATGCAACATATGCATAAAAGATTAAGGGTGAATGCCACGACTCGAGGGAAAGTGCAATGCTTCGTCGTTGGGTATAAGAGGCAGTTACGTTTAGTTATACCTAAAGTGTTAAGGAACTTTTTGTCCAAAATTCATTTTAATTGGTTAGTAGTAAATAAGTAGTAAACTTGTGTAAATATCTTAATATATAGTGTGAAATAATGAAATAAATTATAATAATTAAAAAAATAGAGTCAAGAAAGTTGCAGCTATTGATCACCATTTATTTAAGACAGTTGTTTTGAGTTGTTTTTAATCTAAATTGGGTTAAATCATAGTGACGGCAATGTTTGTGATGAAAGTAGGTGGGGGAAACTTTCCATAAAATCCCTTGCTTAGGGTTCCAAACAAGGATTGGTCACCGCGGGCATGGCCCCCAAGATCCTAGGGAAAATAAGAGGCTTATTGGCATTTGCTACTCCTATCGATAACAATGCAGTTCCTCGCGAAGCGACGGCCGAAGACTGTCGTGCCAAGTGAGGTTTATAATTTTGTCAGAATTCGCATCGCGTGTGACTCCCACGAGGATCGCTAATCGAAGTGTGATCTAGCTTTAGCCGTAAATATTTCTATCAACCTTTATATCGATTTGGGCATCTGCAGTTGCCTAGGAAAAAGACAGCGTGTTAACAAAACAGCCACAAACCTGGAAAATGAAATGCTTTTGTAGATACACTTCAAAGATAGAAGTGCCTTTTAGAGAAAATAGGTGCGATTTGGACATTATTTTCAAAATAATAGCGAAAATCGAAATAAGAAGACGGGTTATATCGACTTTTTAGGACATACGTTGTTTAAATACGATGAAATGCGTTTAAATTCGGTTTCCACCGTCAAAGCTCGGTTTTTTTGTTATTGTTGTTTTGTTTTTTGTTTTTGTTTATTTGTTTATTTTGTTTTTGTTTTTATATATTGTCTTTTTTCCATTGGCTCTTTTCCCTTTCTTCCTACTTCTGGTTGTTAGCCTCTTCTTAGCGGGGTTCTGTGATTCACATATTTCTTATACAATATATAGATATAATAAGAGAAAGTCGTTGCTTTTCTTTTACTTTAACTTTCATTTTCGCCTTCTGTTTATTAATATACTGACTAATGGACGTTGCAGTATTCTTAGAGTTACAGTAAATGCTGATCGTTAACGGCGATCTATGACCCTTATTATCTAGGAAAAACTTTGTATTCCTTCAAATTGGTTACAAGACACTCAGCTACGAATTACAAGAGCAGACGGTGGGATTTGGAATTGAAGCCCTATTTGGTATGAGCTATTTTTAAAATTGCTTATTTCATATTCAGGCCAATTTTTTTCTTTTACTGATCGCCAAGCTGAGTACGCGCACTACATGTTATAATTTTTAGTTTTGAAGTCTTTCTGATCTGGGTTCAATTCTTTGAACAAAGGGGTGTATTTTAGGCGGAGGATTACCTCTTACACTTGAAAAAGCGAAGCTAAAATACTTCCATGTTTTTATGTATCATCATCAAAGTTTTTTGTATTAAAAGTCTCCACTAAACAAAATACATCGTTTTGAACAACCTACTTACATTTTATATTGGCGACGGCCATGCATGCAGTTTTTTAAAGATATGAGGCAGCTTATTGCTCTGCGATGGACCTCATCTTTGCCGTAAATCAAGTTCTAACTTTAAGCAGTTTGAGTTTGAATGAGACAAATGCCAGCAACCCCGCCTTTCCAATAGGTACATTAACAACAACATCAACAACTTTATTTTTCGTATAAAGATACAAAAGTTGGATAGTTTACCCGCATATAGCTGGAAAGCTAATCGTGGCGGGGCAAGACAAGTACATGAATAACACAATTATCTAATAAAAACCAAAACCTTAAACTATTAGAAAGCCTTGCAGATTTGCAACTAAAAATTATTAAAGCACAGAAGTTAAGTGATCTAATTAACACAGGGCTTACTGACGTACAATGCATTAAAACAAGGAGTCACTGACTCTTAAATGATAATACAGGAAAAGAAAAAGCAGACATTAAAACCTTTAGCAGGTGTATCTATGGACCTACTTTTTTATAATCATGGGGATTATATTATAGTCGTCCTCCCTTTCTATAATTAGATATCAAATAGCAATTTGAGGAGAACTATTTAGAAATCGTTCTTTTTTAACGTCCGATATATTTAGTGGTATCTAACCCACAGCTTTACTCCGAGCCGAGAGAGAGAGAATTGTTTTGTATTTCTAGTCTAGAACTTTTAACATTGAATTCGAAGTTTCCAGACGTAGACGATCCTGCATCGTATGAGTGAATATTAGAAGTATTGTGAGGAATACAAAAGTTTGTGTTTCTTTATATAGCTCATCACTCTTGGTACTTTATCTTCAATACCTGCAAACTAATTCAATCTTTTTCTTTTGGTTTTTTTGTTTTTAGGTGAAATTGGCGGAAATATGGGTCTCTTCCTAGGCTGCAGCCTGATGACTGTATTCGAGTTTGCTGATTTTCTTGTGGCTTTGATTTATGTTCGAAAATGGCGTAAAGAATATCAAACATAAAATTCCTTTTAAGGCATTATACTATATACTTTACTTTTCGAAAAGGTAAAACGATATTGATTTACGACTCTTAAAAAAAGTTAATAAAATAAGTCATCAAGCGGTGGTGCTGAAATCGTTTGAGTATAAGGGGGAAATAGTAACTACAGGAATCAATAAAATGCAGTCGTATTTCACAAGACGCAACGAGCCGGAAGTCCAAACAAAAAAAAATAGATTGTTTCATCAATTGATATAGCAATCAATTTGGAAATAAATCACATTCTACTAAGCTGGAACCTTTTAATAAGGACATACGTACATTTATATGAAATTATTAGACTTCTGACTACAAGACCTTAAATTATTTAACAAGGTTAAAATGACTTAAAATGACTAATATTATTAACGCGCACTGAGAAGTTTTTACAAGAGTCTAAATTCCACTCTGTGATTGTCTATACAAACTATAATTGGTGTGGTAGCCTGGTGTTGTCAATTAGCAAGCCCAGACCTACTACCTATGTACTATACTGTTTTTCATATTATTCCGCCAAGCAATGGAATGCTCTTCCTGACGAATTATGGAACATTTAACGACTTATTTTCAGAGAAGTGTACAAAGTCTTTATACGTTTGCTGCATTTGGGTTGCTATACCTTTTGATTGAGTTATTTTACACTGGTATGCCTATGGTGCAAAAAGACAGAAAAAAAACTAAGGAAGAAAAAGAAAAGAAAAGAGAACTTCCAAAAGTTCGTTAAAAAGGTTTCTTGGTCAGGAATGCAGTCCTAAGATCTTATTACAGTCGACTCCCGATAACTCGAACCCTCGCTAACTCGAACCAAAATCGATTTCCCCTGGATTCGCCCATACATTCACTGTAATTTTACCCTCGGTAACTCGAACCCTCGATAACTCGAACTCCCGCTAACTCGAACCAATTTTCGTTTCCCCTCAGGTCATTTTCTGTATAATTTTACCCTCGATGACTCGAACCTTGTTTTGAACCCTTTTGATTTCCCTTGAAGGTTCCAGTTATCGGGAGTCGACTGTATTCAGTATGTGTGCTCGTACTCTCTTTGGTGAAATGTCGGACGAGTGATTCTGGACACGATAATGGCTACTCTGAAAGAGTCCTTGTTATTGTATAATCTAGATTAATTATTACAGAATTTTAGTCATTTCGGCACGCGATAGGATTTGTTACATGAAACCTAATTTCTTCGAGTTTTTTGAGAGTCACTTTCAAATTCCTTTTTATCTAGTAAGCTTGTAACATGTCCGCGTGCATGATACTCGAATTGTATTGTCACAAAGCGGTTTCTAGAAAAGCAGAAATGTTTACAAACGTCATCGAAAATAGCAGGTGTCGTTTTTACCTATTGTTACATGTTGGGGCCAATTGATTTTCTTACTTTTTTTGTTGTTGTTGTTTTTCTGTTTGTTTGTTTGTTTAAAATAAATTACCGCCGAAGTTTAGAGTGGTCACATTCCAAAACAATTGTCAAGGCAAGACAAAATAACATCGGCGAGGAAAATGTAGGGAGGGCATGGAGCTAACAGGACAGATCATCAGTATAGCCTTCCTTGCCTCTCATGCCAATTTTTGAAGCCCAATTTTGTGTACAAACGATGCTATTCTTGTCGATCGAAGAGCTTTTTACAGCAATCAAAAAATAAAAATAAAATTTAATTGGCCAGCAACTCTATTCCCTATATGCCTTTCGTGCTGTTTCATATTCAAAACGGTGGGAATCGACTGACAATAAACTACCCTAAATTGTTGGTGTCGCTTCATTGATTTGGATTCATTTGCAAGAACATACGCGTTTAGCTGTCGCATTTGATCACTGGAATTTTTATTGTTTTTAGGCTAAAATATAATGAAAATTCCAAGAGGCAAATGCGACAGCTATACGGGTATGTTGCAAATGAATCCACCCTCAATTTATAATATTCTTCTTTTCACGTCATTAACTGAATTAAAAATTCAGACCTAATAGAATGGTTCATTGCCATAACAATTTGAACGCCGTCCGTGACTTGCGCCTTATTAGCTATAGAAAAAATTATTCCTTAAAAGTAAAAAAAGAAATACTTGGATTGCGGACCTGTTGGGTCGATAATTGCTTGCACATTTTACATTAAGTGCGAGAGGTAAGTTCGTTATCAGATGTAGGCTTCCTTTTGTGTAATACATTTTCGATATCAAACTGAGAGAAACTTGTCATAATGAAATTGAGCCTGATAAATGTATATTTACAATTATATTTCTCAAAACATTAGGACCATCTTCTGAATAAGAACCCCTGTTAACCTTTTCAGCCGAAGCGTGAATTCCAAATTAAGATCTTTCTGTACAAGATTAGACCTAATTACGAGCATATCATTTCCGGGACCTCAAATACACGGCAGAAGAGACTGAGCGCCGTTCTCTTCAGGTGAGTTAATGTGAGTAAAGTTTTCATGGCTAAAACTTCAATTTTCTTGCCCCATGTAGGGCAATCCGGATCCGTCCGAAAAGCGGAAAATTTCTGCTTGTGGACACCAGAATCCTGGGATTTCGAATCCATATATCAGCTCAAAGAATCCGGAATCCACAGCGTGGAATCCAGAATCCAAGATGGTCTTAGATTACTTACACTAGGCGACTTTTCACTGTGCAGTAAACATGTCGCTGTTCAATAAAAATGTGAGATTTTCAAAGAAAATGATGAATATTTGAAGTCAAGGATATGTATAAAATCTATATTGTAATGCTAGTAGGCAACCCTTTATGCCAATTTTCTTCATTCATTTGTCGAGGCGAACTATTCCGTTAACCAAAAGCGAAAGTTTAACCAGCGAATAGACTTTAAAAAATACCAGGTTTTTTGTTTTCATTTTTTTTAAATTTATTTTTGAAAACTGAGGAAGCTGCTATTGCTTCACAAATTGGCTCACCCCACCAAATATACAAACGACAGTAAAATTCGGCGACTTTTTGCGGAGCCATATCTTTGGCAGTTTTCAACAAATCACGCTCAAACTGATCTTCTTTACTAATTTTAAGGCGTTCTCTCCCGCCGTGCGCGTGTGTGGACGGCTGTTTTTCACTAACTGGTCCCAGTCAAAGGTTGAATAAACTGTGAAAGTGTCCATTCTCATAAAAATCTCTCTTTTGTGACGTTGCAAAATTAAAAAGTGTATTTTTGACTCTGATACATTTCTTGAAGCGATAAAAAATGTCAGAGAGAGCGGACTAACTACGAAGAACCAGGTCAAAAGTGGGGAATAAAGAAAACAACGCTGGTGGACGACCAAGTGCGTGCCGCTGTAGATCGGTAATGGCCGTGAAAAGCCATTCACATAAGGGTTGTCCATACCTGGTACCCGACAACCAGTGCCTCGCATCTTTAGTATCTGATTTGTGTCTGTGTACATACTCATTTCATTTTGCCCTGTCAGCCGCCATTTTGAAACACGAGCTTTAAGAAGCGATTACAACGCATTAGACTGCGCCAGATTTAACTAAAACTGTGTGGACACAGGGACCCGGTGCCTACTTTTGTGCCCGAGAACAAGGTCCCGACCTAGTACTCGGCCCCAACACCGTGCTCGAATTCTATGGGTACTTGAAAAAAAGGTGTGTTCACTCCAGCCAGTACTCGAGCATCGTGCCCGCACACTAACTGTGAACGCTGCCATAGATGTGAACTAAAAATCAACATTGACAAACATTTTCCAAAACAAAAAGAAAACAGAAATAAATCGTTTGTGCGAGGATCTTCTTTGTTTTTTTGTTTTTTTTTTTATCATTATTCCACAGTCGGCAGACTGACCTTTGATGAGCCACCCGCGCTGTTTTCACCACCACACCCCAGTCATTTAATTTATAATATGCATTTTTTTGTCTCACGATTCTCGATTCCTATCGGAAGTGAGAGAGCAAGAGGAGCCTTATACATGTAAAACTTTTACCTGTCGAAAGTTACGTTTAATTAGGGACGGACGATTAGAAAAGTTATGGGGGGGGGGGGGGACCCCCCCCCTCATAAGTTTTCTAATGGTCCGTCCCTTAGGGTCGGATGCTGGGCAACATAGGAACTCTACAGAAATGCTAATTTCAGGACGTACAATGTAGGCGACGCTAAAGTGAAAAACTTTATCCATTTTCCATCATAAGACAGACTAAACAGATTGTCTCGGTACCAAATATTAGAACTCTTGCAACTAGTTTTTAAAAATCCAGTGCGACTTTTTTAATTTTAACAAACATGTTTCTACCGACGGTACATCCCTTATCGTCAGTGGGACGGTTATGAAAGTTTACAGCTGGTAAGACGTGTCTGTTACAAAGTAAAGTAATACGCGCTACCTAAATTAAAAGTTAACAAAATTATCAGATTCGGGTGCAACTAAGTTTTAAACTAAAGTGGTCGAATATTGGTCAAAATAGCGTATATTCAAAGATGAAAGATGGCCGTGAGTTTCTTGTCAAAAACAAATAAACTCCTCATCCTATCGAATATAGCACGCATTATAAAACGCCGCAAAGCAAACGGAGCTAGCTATAAGCCGCGAAGCTGCTGAGCGAGCGGCCAAGTTTATATGGGGTGCGCTTAGTGCAGTTTTAATCGGCCTATGTTTTTAAGCTAACGTTGACATTAATTGTCAGGTTTTTTTCTGCGTGTCTTCTCTGACAGCTAATAAACTGACGTTTGGTCACCAGTTATTAGCTAATGTTCGTTTACCTTTGAATAATTCTGTTAAAAAAAAAAAATTATCAATGGTATGAGGTAAATTTGACCTCGATAGGGTAAATTTATACTATTTGTCGAATCTAATACAGTTGTAAAAAACGTGACTGAGTGCATGGCTTTTAAATATAGGCCTTCATACGGAGACATGTAATTTGTAAACTGTTTTCACGCTTTTAATTTTTACTCCATATTTTTATAATGAAAAAGTCTTTTGGTATTTTAATCTGGAGTTTCCAGGTGTTTCGGTTCTAAACCAGTTAATGAAAATCCCAGATACGGTGGACATATATCAAAACTCTTACCATGTCAAATGACAGAAATGATAGAACTGATTAACATAAGGCCGGAAATGCAAATAAGGCCATAAAATTGTTAAAACCTTATTGAAAATTGTAAACTATACACTAAGACATATTGAAATATAAGTGAATTACATCAGTGTTACATGAATTCAAACCTAATGGCAGAACTCTTATGGTTCCTTGTTATAACAATTTGAACGCCGTCCGTGACTTGCGCATCATTTAATTGTCAATATTCCTAAAAAGTAGAAAAAGAAATACTTGGATTGCGTGCCTGAGCTGTTGGGTCGATAATAGCTTGCATATTTTAAGTGCAGAGGTAAGTTCGTTATCAAGGCTTTTTTTTGTAATACATCATCGATTTCAAACTGAGAAATACGAGAAATAGAAACTTAAGATAAATGTCCAAGATCAGTCTTCTTGCATTCTGCTCAAGTTCACCTACTCAGCACTCTTATAGTCCATGAGGACATCACTCTTTTGTACTTCGTTATATTTACAATTATATAACAATTATAAAACATTAGGACCAAAAAGCTATCATGTTTGTATGCCAATAGTCAAAGTAGCCACCGGACAACTCCTGTGCCTACGTTAACACTCTGATTCAGCCGAAGCGTGAATTCCAAATTATGATCTTTCTGTACAAGATTAGACCTAATTCCGAGCATATCATTTCTGGGGACCTCAAATACACAGCAGAAGAGATATAAAACAGATTCATGGTCTTTTCATTATCAAGTATAGCCGATGTTGCCCAGTATTCGACCGGTACCATATCATGATCCGACCTATGAAAAAATAATCACATTTTTTGTGTTGCGCTTTTTAATATATAACTTTTCGGCAAAGGAAGCATTCTGAAATGAAGGCGAACATTTTAGTTTTAATAATGAAAGTTTTGACCGGCCTTTAGCTTGATCGAGAAACAAATGCAGAAGGGGCCGTTCTGTTCAGACTGAGTTGATGTGAGTGGGGTTTTCATGGCTTAAACTTCAATTTTTCAATTTCAATTTTTTTATTCAAATACATTGTATCTTTATTGACTTAGTATTTTTATTGTCATGCGTTTTATACATGAGCCTCTGTCTTGGGTGATCCGGGCAACCCCATCCCACATATTGACGTTATTAAATTGATTGATTGATTGATTGATTGATTTTCTCGCCCCATGTAAGACATGAAATATCCGGATCCGAGAACTGAAAACTTTTGCTTGTCGGCACTGGAATCCTGGGATTTTGAATCCATATATCACCTCAAAGAATCCGGAATCCCGCTACCGATTGGAATTTTGGAATCCAAGTTCAACCGACAAGGAATCCAGAATCCAAGATGGTCTTAGATTACCTTACACTTGGCGACTTTTCACTGTGCAGTAAACATATCGCCGTTCTCGCTGTTCAATAAAAATGTGAGATTTTCAAAGAAACTGTTGGATATTTAAAGTGACGATAGTTAGAGAAGTTATGTGCGCGGGAACAAAAATAAATTCTTCCTAAAACTTATTTTTTCCTTGAATAACAAAAGCCATAAACAAAATTTCGCCAAATATTGACTTTAGGTGCCCATCATGGAACCAGTTTTTTCTTGGCTTTTCCGAATCGTTGTTGTATAAGCTACGAACACTGTACGTGTAAAAATCAGTAATTTCGTCTATAACTATCGCTTAGGATATGTATATGTATATGTATGTGTAAAATCTATGATGAAATGCCATTACGCAACCCTTTATGGCAATTTTCTTCAGCATTCATTTGTCGAGGCGAACTACACCGTTAACCAAAAGCGAACGTTTAACCAGGGAATAGACTTACCAGGTTTTTTTAAAAACTGAGGAAGCTATTGCTTTACAAATTGGTTCACCTCACCAAATATACAAATTAAAAGACTTTATAATTTGGCGACTTTTTGCGGAGCCATATCTTCGGAAGTTTTCAACAAATCACGTTCAAACTGATCTTCTTTTAATTGATCTTCTTAACCGATCTTCTTCTAATTATAAGGCCGGTTCTTTCCAGCGGTGTTGATGGTTTTTCGCTAATTAAACTGGTCCCAGTGAAAGGTTGAATAAACTGTGGAAGTGTCTATTCTTATAAGAATCTTTCGTTCGTGACGTCGCAAAAAGGTATTGTTGACTCTGATACATTTCTCGAAGAGATGAAAAATGTCAGAGAAGGCGGACTAAAAACGAAAAACCAGGTCAAAAGTGGGGAATAAAGTAAACAACGGTGGTGGACGACCAAGTGCGTGCCACTGTAGAAGTAATGGCCGAGAAAAGCCATTCACATAAGGGTTGCATGTCCACACTTGGTACCCGACAACCAGTGCCTGAGTTCCGGCAGAAAATGGTGTTGTGTTCGCATCTTTAGTACCCGATTTGTGTCTGTGTATATAGTTATTTCATTTTACCCTGTAGATGCCATTTTGGAAACACGGCTTAAAGTAGCGATAACAAAGCATTTCACTGCCCCAGATTTAACAAAAACTGTGTGGACACAGGGACCCGGTGCCCAGTTTGGAGCCCGAATTCTAGCGTGGGTACTTGAAAAGTCTGAAAAGTGTATGAACGAGACCTTCACTGCTAGCATTCGCAAAATCTATGTATTAATATGTATTATTTTGTCTCACGGTGCTTGATTCCTATTCGATGAAAGAGCAAGCTGAACCATATACAATTTTTGCCTGCCGAAAGTTACGTTTAATTCTGGTCGCATGCTGGGCAACATAGGAACTCTACAGAACGGCTAATTTCAGGACGTACGCGAAGGTAAAAAACATTTATCCATTTACCATCATAAGACAGACTAAACAGATTGTCTCAGGACCAATTATTAGAACTCTTGCAACTAACTTTTAAAAACTAAAATGGTCGAATACTGGGCAGCATATCGTATACTCAAAGATGAAAGATGGCCGCGTGTTTGTTTTGAGCAGTATCATAAGTTTCTTGTCGAAAACAAACTTAGAAATAGTCGGAAGCATAATAACAGTAGACCCGTTTTCCTCTTAGAATTGAAGATGGAGGAAACAAGCCCTAGAAGAATTGAAAATAACTGGACTTCAGGTGAGGAAATCAGAAAAAAGTCATTGTACGATAAGCAATGCTGTCTAGCCTGACTCGCCTCCAGTCGTCTCTTAAGATTTGTAGGCGGTCATGGAATGGTCGAGGGGGACTATTACGCGCATCCCTCTTTAACATTTAATTAGGAGACAAAAGAGACGACTGGGGACGACTGCTGATGCTGCTTCCTTTTGTACAACTACAACACCAGGGTGATACCTCTTATTAGTAAAATCCAACTAGTGGTCTATAATCAATGCTGCGTTCTGATTGGTTGAGCTACTACTAGGCTAAGTGTTATAGCCTACTAGTAGCGAAAATCGCCGGCTTTTTGGCTGCAAAAAGGGATTAAAGTCTAGCTTCAACTATCTAAAATTTTTTTATTCTCGATATTTTTGACCAACTAGGTGGATTTTACTAAAACAATTATTCCTCTCGCCCTCATGGCTTCTGAGTCAAGACTCAGAGCCTATTCGGGCGCGAGAAATAATAATATTGTTAACTAGCCGGTTTCAAGATCCATTATGTAAATTACGGACCGAGTTTCCGTAATCTACAGTAGGGTCCGAGAAAACGAGGCTATAAGATATTTATTATGTGGCTTCCTGCTTGGGGGAGCGGAAACAAGTGCAGGACAGGTGATTTGATTTAATTTGACCACAAAAAAAAGTTTACTGGATCACCAAAACAATAGCACATCACAAATGCAAAGGGCCCATTTAAAAACGTTTATTCGATCAGAACTAAAAGCTCGGTAAGTTTTAGTTTGCCAATCTGACACAGCTGTATTTTAAAAAATAGACCTTGTGTCTGGCTCGTACGGTGGGTCGAAGTCGCTTCCAATTTTATGTTGGTCTAAGAAAAAAAAAAACACTGCAAATGGCAAAGAAGCTTGAGGAGATTATCAGGTGCAGGAACGTTTGTTATGATTGTAGAAGGAATAGCTTGTTGGCAAAAAGTCTTGTATCTCTGCCAGTCCATTGTCAACTTTTTTACTGTGATCTGCGATAAAATTTTCGATCACCGACGAGAATCCTCTTTCGCGATGAGACTTCTTCACCTTCGTTCTCGAATGAACAACACAAGCTAAAAATTGGAATCCAAAGTAGACAGACCGCAAATTATCTTAGTTGGTAAAAAATATATATCTACGTGTCGCAACTGTTCATCAGTAGGATGCCTAAAATGCGTGCAATTCCACAATTGGTTTGGGCTCCATTAAATCCTATACCAATTACAGAACATTTTAGGAGGAGCGACCCACCATGTGAGCACAGTCACGGACAATGTAAAGTGAGGAAAATAACGCAAAGTAAAATTAAGACGTTAATAAACGAACTAAATGTACACGTCAATTAAATAAATAAACAAATAATTCGCGCGCTCAAAATAAAATTGTACGCGCACACGTACCGAGATACATCTGAAATACAACACTATGCAATAAATAAGTAATGTAAGGATACGATGGTGCAATTCAAGCCAGGATTGCTAATCTCATCTCCCGCAGGGCTGCACCATACTTCTCGACGATAAGACCATGGCGACTGAAGAATTTATTAAATGATTTCTGACGTAGATTGGTTTCAAAGCCTGGCTGTCTGAGTCGTAATGAAAGTCCACGGAGTCTATTGATGAAGTCAACTTGACTTCAAATTCGACGTGCAAATTCTAGCATATCTCACCAGTTGAGATATATAAACACCGTAAGCTGGATTAGCGGGAATGTTGCTGTCCATATGAGGAAAGTTGACAATCCGAAATGCAAAGTCCTCTCTCTTATCGTAGATGCTGATACGGAAGGGTGTGTTTTCGCCAGTCTTTCCAGGACGACGTCAACTTCCAAGCATGTTCTCAGGATTGCAAACAGTGATAACTTTATTTCAATCATTTTTTCGAGATAAAAAGATTTAGAGCTGCAAACTGAACATTTATGTTTGAAGTTGCTGTCCGTACAGTAAGTTATAGACAGCAAATTGACCAATCGCAAGGCGAAAACAGACTTAGCAAAATAAATTAAAGCTTTATAGGCCAGCTTTATAGGACCAATAATGGCCTAGCAAGGCCATTAAGAGTAGTAGTATAACAAAAGTTTGGGAAACAATACCTTTAATTTGATTTGAAACGGGTTTTTATGTCGAAACATAAATTCTGGACATGCTTTGGTTTCAAGGGAAACATCGTTAGATAATTTGGGCTTGACTTGACCATACAATGCGGAGGTGTTTCCGACGTTTCTTTGATAGCTGCAGTAGTTCGTTTTCGTTGTGTACTCGTTTCCTTTTTCGTGTTTATGACTTGGGGAAAAAGACGGGAAACTCCTTGTGTGATAACCAGACTTCTCTTAGTTCCCGAAAATACTCCTGCTTTTAGCCATTGCTTTCTTTCGTGGCTTTTTAATCAATGCGTTTGAGGCAGGTGATAACTCAAAGAGAGTAACTCTGGCTTGCCATATACCGGGCAATCTCTCTTGAATTTATACGGCATCGTTACCACACGAGAACCTCCAATATACGAAGGAAATAAGTTGTTTTCCGGTTTATATAGCTTCGCTAATCAAATTTAATGTCATCAATAGTCGATCTAAGATCGATTATTATTCAGGAAAGAGAACGTTTAGTAACCTCGCCTTCACCGATTTTCTATAAAAGAGACGCGTTACTTTCTGAAGTTTGGTTTATTATCAGAACGCGTGCGGTTCAAACCAAAAATGTGGAACAGTAACCATCATCATAGCCTCTTCAACAAGGTCATGAAAATTTGGAAGTAGAAAGCGAAGAAAGCTATTTCTCCCAAGAAAGCGAAGTATCTCAAGCTAGCCAAGGAATGGAGTCTTCCCAAGTAGAAACAGAGCACTTAGAGCCTTGGTCACGCATTTTTTATGAAGCCGAAAAACGCCACGAGACAGAGCTCAACGCTTTGATCAATCAATTACGCAGAGAACGGAGATTCAGAAAACGTGGCTCGTATTAAATCCGAGAATGCTCTTCTTCCTGTTTACAGGAAAGAGCTGAGAAAAGTACTCTCAGAGTATCTACGGTGGATGCGTACAATAAAAACAGAATTAAAGGATATACGGATCAGTTATACACGCAAACCTCAATTACAATTGTATATTTGTTCCTGGTCCCCTTGAGTACTGATTAACTACATTGATGTTTCCAATTCATGTATTTTTGAATAAAAATACATTTTCAAAGCTTTATAGGATGGATCAATCCCCGCTGTCAAAGACGCGTCATGCTTATCGCCATTCTACAAGTCATGCATGTATAAATAATAAACACCAGAACTATATATTGATACAAAGTAGAATGGGTCAAGATGTGTACTTTATTGTTATTTTCTTGTCCTATAATAATGTCTTCTATTGTTGCCGTCTCGACGTGAATAGGGTAAGTTGTCAATGATTACCAGCAACAAACATGGTCGTGTCTGAATAAAAGTGTGAAAAAGCTCTTGTTTGTTTTATAATTTCAGTTGCTTATACTAGATTATAAGTGTTAAGTTCATGTGACCGTACTTCTTCTCCATTCAGGACCGGGAGAATTATTATTATTATTATTGATATTATAATTATTGTTATTGTTGTCAACAGAGTTGTTACAAGAACTGTTAATTTACCACTATGCATGATCGAGCTGACTTACCGATTATCGTATAAGTTATTGGTCGTTCTAGGTAGTATGTGACAAGAACTTTCCTCGTCAGCAGCTAGTACGTCTAGTTTAATTATATTTGCTTGAGGAGTTTGTCTCAGTTTTAAAAAATAATAATATTTGCTTATTTGTTTTGTTTTGTTATCCAAGGAAAAATGAAAACTACTGAGGCTGAGCATGTAGCAATAAAGCCAGAGAGAAAACAAGAAAATAAAAGTGATTCGTACCCCGAAAAGAATCTCCCCGACACTTTAAAAATGTGGATCAATTTTGCAAATGCCACTTCTTTACATGGTATTCGCTACGTGTTCTGGAAGCGACCACTCTGGGCCAGGATTGGCTGGCTTCTTATTCTGCTGGCATTCACGGCCTATTTTCTGTACACAGCACACAGTTCTCTGGTTAAGTACTGCAGCTGGCCCATAAATACCGTCATAACACAAAAATATACAGATAAGCTGGACTTTCCGGCTGTAACAATTTGTCCACTTAATCTTGTAAGTAAGAAAAAGATGTTTGCCCTGGAAGGGGACCCCAGTTACGTCAAACATGGCCTCAATGACAGTATGTGTTCTGCCACGGCCGCAGTTCGTGAAGGGAAACCTTGTGGAGCTGCAATGATGTGCTGTTGCTTGAGTTTTATTTTCCTCGACGGTGCAAAAATTGTTCCAAACTGCACTCAGGGGTACGCTGAAAGACTGATAGCTGCACAGCAAAGATCTGGGATTTTTTTCGACACAGGCCACTATTATGAAAGGTACGGACAGGGAATAGATGAGATGCTGGTCCCTGGCTTATGTATATTCGACGGTAACCTAAAGCCGTGTGATGCTTCGGAGTTCAGAACAACTTTCACAGATTGGGGTATATGCCACACCTTTAACGCTGACCCTGACAATGTCAGAAAAAGCCAACTGCATGGAGTTGGGGGAGGTTTGAATATATTACTGGACGCTCAAGTTGAGGATCACACGATTGGAAGGCTGTCTGAGGGTTTCAGTGTAATAATTCATCGACAAGGGGAGTATGTGACAGCTTGGGATGGAATTAACGTCCAACCAGGCATGCAAGCATCAATCGCACTACACCAAAAAAGGGTGAGTCTCCACCTAAAAATAAAGGCAAGGTAGGATTATTGTAAGAGTGATTGTCTGCCTTAGGTGGATTTCCACTGTCGCGCAATTTTTACCTGCGTGTCCACGCCCCTAAATTTTAACTCGTGTAAATAAAAAAGAGGCAAGGCATGAAGTGTGGCGCTTAAATGTGAAGTTGACCGAGGTTCGACTTTTACGATTTCGTGCGACCTTTCATACTTAACCACTTTTCTATTTGTGAACGTAAATTTTTATGCACGTAAGGAAGGACAAAAATTACGTGACAACAAGTGAGAGTGAAAAAGACGAAACCTTCATTTGATTAGTCATGTCCAAACTGAATTCTAACACTATTTGTCTGAAATGCCTTTCACCCCTTACCAAGAATGTGAAAGCCTCGCGGGTCCTCATCACTGTTCCAATTTTTTGGCAGATAATAAATCTCGAGACACCTTACGAAACAAAGTGTGAAAACAGAAAATTAAAGACAAGGAGATCCTATACAACGAAAGGCTGTTTGTTCGAGTGTGTTGCGGAAGCCATCATCGAGAAGTGTAAATGTCGTTCTGCTGAGTATCCGGGTAAAAGTTATAGCCATTTTTGGCTAGGTTTTACACTAGACGAGACTTTTCCGGACTCATGAAGACTCCAGTACGTTTTGCAGGGGCGGATCTAGGGGGAGGGTGCAGGGGGTGCGCACCCCCCCCCCCCCCCGGCGACCCCCCCGGTTTTTATACACACTGGCGAAGAGGGGAGGGCACACGCGGGGACCCCAATGTGGTTTATTGGTGTTGAAGTAGAGCAAGAGACGAGTGCACCCCCTCCTAAAAAAAATCCTGGATCCGCCGATGTTTTGCATTTAACCGAAATAAAAATGTTCTTGTTTGTTCGCGTACCCTGAGCTTTTGAATCGGGAATCTAAGATGATTATTTTTTAGATCCGAATAAATGTTATGGGATAAACTGATCTAATATGTAAACGCCTGCGAATCCGAATATCCCAGTGGGTTAGATCCGGAAACAGATTTGAATCCGGAAAAATCTCGCCTAAGGTAAATCTATCCCTTATTTTTTCTAGTTTCTGCTTATCTTTGTGTTAGCTATATGTTATTCATTAATTTTAACAAAACATGTCATAAATTTATGAAAACAGAACAAAAACCAGAACAAAAACAAAAAACAAGAAAGAAAGAATAGACATGGTAATCAAAATGAAAAAAGAGGAAGGCGAAATGGTATCAAGTTTATTATTCATAAGTAGGCTGAGTATGATCGTCCTGGTGAACGTAGTCCCGAATAGGACTGTTGTTTTTCACAATGACTGACGTTTCGACAACCTGTGCTGTAGTAATGTTCAGAGTCAAAGTGAGTAGTATCACGTCAGTTGATGGTTTTTAGTCAAATTGTCACTTGTCCAACTGGACAACTGACAGTTTGACTAACAATAAACGACAGTTTAACTTTGACAACAGCCGGATCGAAACGCACCAATGACATTACGAGTCTTCATAGCCAATAACGTAACGGCCTAACTGGCAGACGACTAATAACATCGCGACTTAATTGACCAATCAGATCAATAATCAGAGTTAAATATCATCCGATGACTGACGTAATACAACTCGCTTTGACCTGCCCTAGGGTGGTTTCGCGTCTTTGGCAGATCTCCCTCTCTGTTTGTTTTATTCTTTGCGAAATACTCTAGCCATACCCCAGAAAGCAATTACAGTGGATTTTAGTTACTTGGCCTGACGTTAAATAACCAAAATGGCCATGTCGGTTGTTTGCAGTTTCAGTAGTATAAGGCGCACCGAATTAGTCCTCGTTAGGGAGAAAATCTGATTAAAGAGAGAAGGGATATAATCAAGTCGAAGACGTAATAGGGTGATTTAATTGAGATGTTGAGGAAAAACAAAAAACACAGTTCGGGGAGGAAGAAAAAAGATTACAGAAATGTGGTGGCAGTTGTTGGTAAGATGCAAGAGTCCTGGTAAGAGTAGTGGTGGTGGAGAAAAGAAAGTACAGTTGTGGTCATGTTGGAGGGGAGGCAACGCAAATGCAATGGTGTTAGAGGGAAGCCAATAGAGTTGTAGTTGTGCAAAGAAGGGAATAAAGCTATGGTGGTTCAACGGTGGGCAATACAGCTGTGGTGGTGTTAGAGGGGAAGCAATACAGTTGTGATGGTGGTGAAGGGAAGGCAATACAGCCCTGGTGGTGTTGGAGGGGAAGCAATACAGTTGTGATGGTGTTGGAGGGGAAGCAATACAGCCGTGGTGGTGTTGGAGGGGAGGCAATACAGCCGCAGTCGCAGTGGTGTTGGAGGGGAAGCAATACAGCCGTGTTGTTGTTGGAGGGGAAGCAATACAGCTGTGGTGGTGTTGGAGGGGAAGCAATACAGTTGTAATGGTGGTGAAGGGAAGGCAACACAGCTGTGGTGGTGTTGGAGGGGAAGCAATACGTTGTGATGGTGGTGAAGGGAAGGTAATATAGCTGACTTAGTGAGATTCAACAGCATTTTAATTATGACATGAAGGCAAAACTAGGGGGCTAAGACTATTTAGTATCTCTTTCAAACATTGTTTTGAGATGATGTGCATGCTGATAAAAGGTTAAATTCGTTATTAACTGTGATACAGCATTTTTTTTCGTTCTAAATTACCCAAAGCTGTCTACCTGATCTCTAAAGTTTACTATGTTCTGGCGTTCAACAGCAGTTTAATTCTGTTATGACAAACATGATTTGCTATTTCTACTATAATTGTCATTGTTTAACAGCGGAGAAGATGATGCGAACTTGTGGGAAAGTGGATCAGCTGTGCGCTCTAAATGCTACACGTAAGAAGCATTAACCTAAGGACTTAAAGTAATCTTTTTGTTTTTTGAGTGATCGCGTTTGAAATTAAATCGCCTTCTCTGAAACTGGGAAGAGAATTTATGTTTTAATTCCTCGTACCATAGGATCAAACCTTTCTAAACGCAAAATGTGGCTAGCTTTATAATTAAAAGCAATAGTGCTCGTAATCGAACTCGTACGTCATACTGGAAAAAATTTTTTTTAGACCAAATGGGTCAACGAAGCTGACCAGGAAACGCCCACAAAATTAATAATAATTATTTATATCTTGTATCACAGTAGTGTTTGTCGTAACATCATATAATGACCGTATCTTTATGCCTTATACTTAATCTCAAACCAAATTATAAAGCTCATTTGAGCATTTCGTAAGTGCTCCATGTTTTCCTGATTTCATCACAAAGAGGATTGACCAACGTTTAGTGTCGATATTCCGTTACCTTTGAGAAAGTTGGAGACTACATACGTCACAGTTTAAGACGTGAGTGGGTTTAAATATTGTCTTTATCCGTCTTTTGCTTCTTATCTCAAAAGGGGGTTTGTTACCCTTGGGGTGGGGCCAGTTTCTACAACAACGATTCATTTTAATTAACTGTTTTACTTGTAACGTTTATTTATGCGAACATATTTGCAAAGGACCTCGTTAAATGTACTATAGAATGAAGACGTTAATAAAAAGCAAGCTAGCAGGATTCAATGCTGCGTGGGTAGAACAGCAGTAACTTTTCAAACTTTCCACATTAATTACTTGGGAGTTTAAACTACCGCTTAGCAAATTAACACTTCAGCCAAAGCGAATACATGGTTAACGCGTCGTTTTTGTTCTGCTCAATAACGCGCTCGTTCGATGAATGGCGTGGGTTGACCTTGCGACTTATATACGTGCAAAGTAGAAACTCGTAAATTACTAGAGCGAACGTCGCTAAGGCGTGGAAAATTTCGTATTATTTTGAAGGTCTCACTAAAGAATAATGCCATTGAACTTCATTCCAGTCAATAAACATCCTACAAGCTGCAATTGCCCAGTCCCCTGTGATGAAACAAGATACACTACGGAGGTTTATTATTCTAGTTTCCCTGATGCCGGTTCTGCGAAAGTGATACAAGCCACCGGAGCGATCCGCTCTTTTGACTATATGCGGTAAGTACCAGAAACTGTGCCCCTGGATAATAAATATGCGTTATTGACCAAGTGTGGCGCCAATTAAGACAGGATATCGGCCAAGTTTATTATGTAGCAAGAAAGAAAAGTTTAACTCTCGAGGGACTAACGCGCGCGCATGAGCTAGAAGTCCATCTTGCGCACTTGGGTTGCCAATCAGAACAAAAGTACAGCAGCCCACTCCCGGATTTGTCCATGTAATATTTACTACTGGGTTTTTAGTAGGGCCATTGAACAATGACAATTTTGTTTGGAAATTGATGAGTGTAAAAGTCATACTTTGTCCGTCAGGAAATTGACGCTTTGTTTTGTTGTTGTTGTTGTTTTTTGTTTGTTTTTGTTTTGCTTTAGATAAAACACTTAAACTGGGCTATATTTACTAATTAATTAATTGCTAAGGTTTCTTTTGGCCAGAGTAAAAAAAGAGAGAGAGCTAGTTGAAATTAGACGTTATTTCTGATCTTATATTAATGAAATTGGGTAGCAATAAGATCAAGAATGTTGCACACTTAATTTTAAACAGTTTTTCATTTACTTTTCACGGAAAAAAATCAAACTTTGAGTAAACTTCAAGAATTTTTGCGATGATCGTAGGCTTCAAGAATATTTGGTAACTCTTAAAGTCAGGGCCGGCGAACATAATCTATCACGCCCCATTTCTTTATATTTATCCCAGTAACTCTCAGGAATCCGAATGTATCATAAACATAAAATGGGTGAGCCTATACTCTCTATCCTTACTTTAACTAATATGTGGTTTTCTATGGAACGTTGGTTATCTGTAATTTACATTTCCAGCATTTGCAATAGCAGCAAATTCTACTGGCAATGTTGACTATGTGTGTCATTGTATTTTCTAGGAAGAACTTTGTCTTTCTTCAAATTGGTTACAAGACACTTAGCTACGAGCTACAAGAACAGACGGTGGAATTTGGGATTGAAGCCCTATTTGGTATCATTGTGTTTACTTATTGCTTACTCCTAATCAATATTCAGCTAGATTTAAGGTTGTAATAAACCAAATGGTCATTTCATTTTCGGAAACTCCAAAAATGACATGAAACGACCGCTACTCAGTTTTTTCATTTTTTTTTCAATCGTGTGCCAAAATTGAGTGCCAAATAGCAATGTAGTTCGTTATGTTTTACTGAATACCATGGCTCATTATATATTTTTATGCCTTGCTAACAAGGAAAACCGAAGCTAACATTTGCTTACCGGCGAAAGATTCTTACGGCCTGTAATGAACCGGCGCGCTGTTAAATTGTAGAGAAGTTGTAACTACAGTAATAAATCACTTGTGTATGTGAAAGCCCGTATTAAACGATTTTCGCAAACGGTTTAAGCACACATCCTCTTGAAAATTCATTCTTTATTTGTGACAGGCATATATCTTGTTTTCTTTCTTTCTTTTTTTTAAGGTGAAATTGGAGGAAATATGGGTCTTTTTCTGGGCTGCAGCCTGATGACAGTATTCGAGTTTGCTGATTTACTTGTGGCTTTGATTTATGTTCGTAAACTGGGCAAAGAATATCAGACATGAGAGGGCCTTTTGATATGATATCTTAAATTCTCAATTTTCTCTCTTTCTCTCTCGCTGATTTGCTGATTTGCTGATTTACGACTTTAGTTACTTAATAAGCTCTGCCTCAGCTTCATTCAGCGCCGCTGCGATTGCTCTTCAGTGTATTAGAATAGGGTTTGGTTTCGAGAATGTAATAAACTAAGGTCTTACCTTTCCATGCAGCATACTAGATTGTACCAGAGCTTGCGAGCAAAGTGTATTTTATTTATTAATTTGCCTGTGGCGAGGAAATCTACGAGAAGCCGAGCTTATGAGGAATAGAGATTTCCTCCAAATAGTTTTCTCAACATGTACAGTGTACTGACGTGCGACTGTCTGGAAATGGCTGACCTGCGGCAGCGTTTCCATTTGAACGCCCTGTGACCAAAATTTAAAAACCCTTATAAGTTGTATAATGGGAATGAGTGAAATGTAAGTCAACTTCACCGTAAACGACACGTTAAGCAGCTGGTCAGAGCGATCAACGGTAAATAAAGGTAAAAATGACTCTGAGTCCGAAACTATCGTCCAGTCATTATCTAAAATATTAATGTTCTCTGTTTTTCACTACTTCTAAATACAGATGGTATGGAAGTGCTATTTTCTAAGATAAATCATTTATTTGGTACTTTTTTTATGATTCGTCCCAGCAAAAGTTCCCCTCTTTACTACGTGCGTTATAACCGTAACTTTTGTTGTAGACAATGCTGACATACTACCTGAAAGCACAGTACTCGCAGTTCGATATTGGTTTATTGAGTATTGTGAGCAACTTTATTTTTAATGTAAAGATTGCCACTGCCAATCATATTGCCGAAAACGCCAACTGTTGAGATAGAAATAGTCAATTACCATTGTCAACAAAAAGAATGTTCGTCCTGATCACATTTGCTAGAGAGTTTTTATTGACTATTTTATTCATTTTCAATATAAAAGACCTCGGCAGAAATAGATAAATCGATGTTTCCTTCCATCGACAATAAGTACAAAGTTGTCTACTTGCACATAATCGTTCGTTTTACTGAGGTTCTAAAGCGCCTGCTTTGAAGTGTGTACACAAAAGGATTTACAGCTGAGTTTAAACATGTGAGCACTACACTCCACTTATAAAGCGGCGAGCCGTAGACAAAGTTGGAATGATTAAATGCTAAGATGTACAGAATCAGATTTGGAAGCCAACAAACGGAATAAATAACTGTCAATGTGATAGCCATTCTGGTGGCTTTTCTTCTTGGAATTAAACGAGCTCTGTGGTTAACTTGTTGAGTTCTTACTTTTCTTACCCATAGCTGATAAACGACTTTTGAATACAAAATTGTCATACAGAGTATAGGTAACGCTCCAACTACTGTGAACCAGAGTACACCGTATAATTTAGGAAGAACGGGATGCGGCCAGTTTTCTGTGCAAAAGTCCATTTCTTCGTCATATGACATGATAAAAAATAATGGGAGATTAAGCAACAGCGCAAAAATCCAGGACATTATCACGAAAGCTAGCAATTTTGACTGTGAGAAGTCTTTCGTAAAGCCATAGGGTCCTAAAACAACATCAGCAACATGGCGGCGCTCAAAAGCGATGGTAACAAGAGTAAACACGGACGCTGACCCGGCAGTCCACATCAGATTTCCTCCTGTAATGTAGCGGCATAGATAGTCTCCTACCAAACCTCGAGGGTGGACAAAAACGCCATGTAAAACGTAACGAGGGATCGCAAACACCGCCACCATCATATCGGCTATGGCTAAGTTCAGAAACAGAAAATCCAGGGCAGAGCGGCGAAATCTGAATCTCTTCCATTGTAGAATAATTGAGCAAACTAGCGCGTTACCAACAAAGTCGGTAAGCGACAGAAGTGAAAAAGCTGATAAAAGCGCAATGTCGTTCTCAGAAGACATTTTGTTTTCAGTTAACATTGGTTCGACTTCATCTAATCAGTCGCGCTTTTACAAGTCATCCCTGACTATCTAACCTTAGCGCACCATGCAAAGCCTCAAGAGCATCGATGATTTTTCGTCAATCAAATTTATGATAATATTTAAGGAAGGGCGCCAATCGTTAGAGGTTCCTGTCAGTACCAGCATCAATATGGTTAAAGCTGTGAAAACAGGATATGAAAAGTTTTCTATTCACCAATTAAAGCGAAAAGGGTGGCAAAGTTAAAATCTAATGCTCTGCATACTTTTAAGAAGCTGTATTGTGTTTCATTACAACTGCTTTTTACCACCTAATGCGACACGGCAGATTCCATGAAATGTGCTTATTAGGAATTAGAAAATGTTATTTCAATCGGCCTTCAAAAAGAAAGTTTGTATTTAGTTTTACAGTCGGATCTGATCTTGGCGAATTTAATTTTAGCAGGTCGCGAACAATCTGCAATCGTGGATGTGTGCTGTTACCGCAATTGCAGCGTCGCAATATTTCAAGTCAAAATTAAATCAATATAATAATTTATACGCATTGCTAATATGATTGGAAAATTGAAAGATAATTCAACGATAAAAATGATTAACGATACATAAATTTAGTTACTTCGAAAGAGGTTTTTGTTTTATTTAGGTCCATTTCAATAAGCCAACAGTTGATTAATATCCGGCTTTTATTTGTGATTACGTTTTTTTACTGCGAAGAATTTAACTTAGAATCTGAAATAGTTTATAGCGTTGTCTAAACAGAACTGTCGAAGTAAAAGTGATTAGTTTTCTCTCCGACTGCCTTTTGTTTAAACAGTAAATACATCAGTCAATCTGACGCAAGACAAAAGTAAGTAACACTTGCCACCCCTTTACAAATGTTTTTCATAAGCCAAACGGAAAAAGAGAAAATTATTATAATAGCCTTTTTTCTTATTTGAATCTGGGTAATTTTTTAATTGAAAGTAAGTACGCTGTAGTTCAACTTGGGATGTTTCAGACCTAAAAAAAAAAGATTAATTGCGCTATGCTTTACATTAGAACATAAACAATGAATCCGGTTTGTTTCATCACCTTTAGTAGTAACATATTATTCACACGCGCTGAACCTCTGAAAGTGAAAAAGTCTGGGTAAGTCCTGTCGATGGGTATGTGCGAGCAACCAAAAGATTCTCTCTTGACGCAACTCAAACTAAAAACATTTAAAATTAGAGCATTTCAAATGAGGAAAAAACCATAGAAGAAAAGGGAAAACAAAGAGCATTAAAAGACAGAGTTCTTTTGAAGGCAGTACTCAAGGTTTTATATTTGATACTTAGACATATATTTAGATTTAGATTAGATTTTGGGTTAAAACGTTTCACAGCTTTATTTCTGGTTTGCACATGACGTCATGGTTATGTTGATGGTCAAGAACAAAAACATTTCTATCACAGTGGGAACTAAAATCTATTTTCATGTAAATTCTATAGCTGCCGTGAGGCGACTTCTTTTGCTGATCAGCGCTAACGATAGACCAACAACTTTATTCCGATTTGAGTCCTCGAGGGTTACAGCAATAGGCAAGATGGTAGACAATTGACCCAAAAGACTTGACTGGTATTAGGTTTGATGTACCGTGATTTGTCGTATTTGATGTGCTGTGGTTAAAACTTAAAAACAAGCTGAAAATAAAACTTCAGAAATACTGCGAGCGCAAAAGAAATACATCAAAAATAAAATACAGCAAATGAATGGACAACGCACTTACACTGTTTTGGCGCAAAACTTCTGACCGCAAAAGGAATACTCCCGACAGAAACCTACTACTTAGTGCTCTTTAAGAAACAACGTTGAAATGAAAGCTGAACTGAAAATGCTACAAGGCGATTCAAGTTAAAAACGAAAAATGCAAACAAGGGCTAGGCGCAGTTGAGATAGCTAGGGGAGCTGATAACAATAAATTCTTTGAAATAATTNACTTAGACATATATTTAGATTTAGATTAGATTTTGGGTTAAAACGTTTCACAGCTTTATTTCTGGTTTGCACATGACGTCATGGTTATGTTGATGGTCAAGAACAAAAACATTTCTATCACAGTGGGAACTAAAATCTATTTTCATGTAAATTCTATAGCTGCCGTGAGGCGACTTCTTTTGCTGATCAGCGCTAACGATAGACCAACAACTTTATTCCGATTTGAGTCCTCGAGGGTTACAGCAATAGGCAAGATGGTAGACAATTGACCCAAAAGACTTGACTGGTATTAGGTTTGATGTACCGTGATTTGTCGTATTTGATGTGCTGTGGTTAAAACTTAAAAACAAGCTGAAAATAAAACTTCAGAAATACTGCGAGCGCAAAAGAAATACATCAAAAATAAAATACAGCAAATGAATGGACAACGCACTTACACTGTTTTGGCGCAAAACTTCTGACCGCAAAAGGAATACTCCCGACAGAAACCTACTACTTAGTGCTCTTTAAGAAACAACGTTGAAATGAAAGCTGAACTGAAAATGCTACAAGGCGATTCAAGTTAAAAACGAAAAATGCAAACAAGGGCTAGGCGCAGTTGAGATAGCTAGGGGAGCTGATAACAATAAATTCTTTGAAATAATTCTTATTGTATTTGACCACCAACATGGCCTCCATGTCACGTGCTTGCAAACCAAGAATATTTTCTTTTGAAATTTGGTTAACAAAATACTCTTGAAATTTCGTGTTTCTAGTTGCTAGGGGAATCATTTTGGTCAGCTTTCGCGTAAGTTCAATGTTTTTTCAGTTATTTTATTACCTTATTTAAAGATATCAAATCTGCCAACCTCGTTCTCAGGGTCTTCTGTATTCCTTCTACGATAAACGACCCTGTAGAGAGCCTGAGAAAAAAGGATCCAAGGAGCAAGAAAGTAGCTGAATTTTGAGCAATGTTGCTTTGTTTAAGTTTAAGAGGCTTTACCAATAAAAAAAAAAGGTAAAAGATGGCGGGGTCGCTTCAGGAAGAAACTGAATTCCCATTATTTTTAGGGTTACTCTCCTTTCATAAATCTAACTGACTTGTACATGCACACATAATAATACACAACATAAGATAAATACATTCACAACATAAGATTAGAAATAACTTATAAGAATAATAATAAATAGAATAAAATAGAAAATAATTATCGATTAATAATCAATTGAGCGCAAATAACTTAAAAGGAACTACAATAGATTCACAGGTAACATTAGACGAGAAAGAATTCCATTCACTAACGGTAACAATTAAAAACGGAATACTTAAAAACAAGAGAATATAAAGGGGACAGAGAGGGCATCCCCCATATACACCCTAATCCATAGGTAATTCGTCTCCAGTTATTTTTAACACCACAGATCTCAAGGGGGATTAGACAACAGCCAATCACATAGCGCGAATGTGTTCCGCGTGGATGACCCACGCTGAGAGCCACGCGTCCTTCATGAAATGACGCAAAACAAAATGGGGGAAGACGTGAAGGGCGATTTTGCTATTCCTTTTGTCGACGAAAACGACTACAGCGACATTTCTGCGAAAGCTGTGTCAGCGAAACCGAAATTAAAAAAGAATCGCCCTTCCTATCTTGTATAGAGCTAACATTAGAGCAGGGAAATCCTTAACACACTGAATATTCTCTCAGGATCATTTATAATTTACAGTTTGAAGAGAGCAATTTCTGGTTTGATGTTTATTTTTTTCAGTCTTTATAGCGATTATTCCTACCCACTTACTCTGTCAATTGTAAGCGAACCCTCCTAAGGCTGAATTTCAAGGGACCATATTCAAGCTCAGAGAGAGAAATAAAATTTCGTCGTTGCTTACTTACGTCCTCCATAAAACGCGAAATTAGGCATTTTCACGTCGTAGTCGTGCAAAAACGGGAAAGAAATGAACAAAAAAGTGTGTTGCACGTGCGAAGTTGTTGTTTTGCTAATTAAACCTATTGTTTTTTTGACGTTCTAGTTGTCGTCCGCGTCGTTGGATCTTAAACTCCCTAAATTGTACAAACGACCGGTTTCAATAGACCGGCGAAATTTCTCATTTTATTAAAGCACTGAGGTTACGACAACTTCGAGTTAAACTGATTTCACGGGTTGTCAAAGAGTCCAGCGATTCCTTTTTCCCAGGTGAGCGCCGACTCATTTCGCTTCAATATTCAGGAATGCTCTCGATCTTTTTACGCTTTCATTGCCTCTCGCCCGACATGTTTTGCACGGCGTTTGGTCATGCGAAACCTCCACGAAACATCCACGCCTCGCGCGAGGTAACTTTATCCCGATTCTAAAAATAACTCGAGACGAATTACCTATGGAATAGGGTGTATATGGGGGATGCCCTCTCTGTCCCCTTTATAGTCTCTTGTTAAAAAACAAAACCCTTGGCAGCCTGGTGGAATAACTTAGGGGTTGTCGCATGTGTTCTCAAGCCCCTTTTTTCATTGTTTTTTCTTTGTTTTTTTAATAGGAGATCCAACTACGATACGAACGAGATCGCAGTCTAGTCTAACTTAGTCATGTAATCTTGAGGGCTTTACTTGAATATTCGATATTCTGTTAAAAAGCCGAGGACGTCGCCCAATTGTCCAACAACAATGACGTAAATTATTAATTATTAACCATAACAGGTCTGCCGCTAGAACTATGTACCAGACGAAAAGCAGCAGAGTGCGCCTCTGATGTGCTGCCGAAAGTTTGTGCTTTGAAGAGCATAAATAAAAGGATTCATTGCTGAATTAAGACCCACAAGGACAACAGTCGTAACATAAGGAAACGAACCATATAGATAGAGCTCAGGTTTATACTGGGACAGCATATAAAGTACCAAATTTGGTAGACGACATGCCGCATAAATGATACTGACGATCAAAACCATCTTGGTCACTTTCTTTCTTGCGCGGATCCGCGACTGCTCTGCTAATAGTGGTGTGCGTTCACCACCACCTTTCCAGAGATTCCACAGTACTTTCGAGTATAAAACTGTCATAACACCAACGGGAATAGCACCAAAGACAAAGAAGCATGTTACTGTGTATGTTTTTGCTAACTGTTTATTCGGCCATTGTTCTACACAGTGGCTCACTCCGTCTTTATGTTGAACAACAAAAAACAGAGGAAGATCAAAAATCAGGGCATAAAGCCAGCTGGCAGTAATCATTCCAATAAATTGATGTTTCATGCGTCCCAAATGGTCGCTGAAAGGACGAACAACCGCGTAGAATCGTTCAACTGCAACTATCACTAAAGAGAAGGTAGATGCCGCCTGACCAACCCATATGAAGTTACCTCCAGTTAAGAACCTGCACATGGTATCTCCTGCAGTGCCGTTTGGGTGGTGAAATGCCCATTTGATGACGTACTGTGGAGTGATAGCAAGAGCTACCATCATGTCTGACACAGCCAGGTTCACCAGCAGGTAATTAATAGGTGCTCTCATGCCGCGAAATTTAAACACCACAAGACAAACCAAGCCGTTACCAAGGAGATTTATCAAAACGATAACAGAGAAGGACACTGTAAGGCCCAGATCCATTGATGACATAGAGACCATTGCTTCCTCGATATAACTGCAAATGAAAAAATGTATATATAGCAAACCCAGTTGAATAAAGTATCACTAAGATAATTTCATTCATTGAAGAGCTCCTATATAAAAACTGCGGAAGTTCCCGCCGGAGAATTCCCAGCACACCCCTTAATTAAAGATACTCTCTTTATGGGCAAGGCCTAAATTATTTTATTCCTCAACTGATGTAACTAAAAACCAATCGAATGATGATTCTTTATTCGCAACATGTTGTTGCATTTCATTCTCACAAAATAAAAATAATATGTAAAAACACATCATAACTCGAGTAGGAGAAAGAGATCAACTGATAAGCAGGGTGTGGCTGTCTGTGACTATCTGCTTTTGGTTAGTTTTTATGTGGTTATAAAGCGATCAATTAGCAAATTTAAATGGACTAAAAAGGACAAGTCTTGGAGTAAGAAGAAAACTGAACCTTATCACAAATAATTTATAGGAAGGGTTTGATGCACTTTTCACAGCAAGTAGGTTCCATAGAATAGTACTAAAGTTGCTAAGTTCTGGCAACAATAGCGCTTAGACGAAACAAATCAAACTCAATTACTCTGACGTGTCCAAAATATGAACTGGTCTGAGCACGCCACACGTGAGCAGATTTACGGCAAACTTCTACCTGATAAAATGCCGTCTCCAATTTGCAGGTCATTGCCAAAATGAACGAGCAAATGGTAATATCATTCAATCCGTTCTTCTGGAGAAACTAAGTGGCCGTGTACATACAAGGACAAATGACATTGACCGAGTCCCAGATAATTCTTATCCCGACTAGGGATTCCGGAATTGACAAGGGAAATATTGCGAACACGTGACGCGGAATAAGATCTTGATCAGAGCATCCCGACCGAAAGGGCCGAATGATGATGACAATTGGAACGCAGATCATCACGGGCGCTTAGAGGTGGTTCAGGTGTGAATGGTGAATGGGGTAAAAGATATGAAGAGCACCCCTGTCATTTTTAACAGGCGAGTACCCACCCTCCCCCTAACTTCCCAACTGGGGTTGCGCAGGGTATCCATGTTGGTGATGCAGGGTAAAAAATCAAAATCAAAAATCAAGTACGGCAGCATATCAATCCCTATTTGTGTCTCAATGGCTGCCAGTAAAGTAAAATCATGCTAGTTATCGAATTCCTTACTTAGGGCTATAAAGATATTTGAGTTCGAATACCCAAGTTTCACCGATAAAGTTCAAGATAACTAAATATTCAAACTGCATTTGTTTAGTGAAGTTATGATAAGTCTAAGCAGGAGCTAGTCCAGAAGGAATACTGACATGAACTTACGTCAGCGAAGATGACGACGGTATCAACAAATTTACTGCTTTTAAAACGTGGTAGAAACTTCATACTTCGAATTTTGGTTTCTCCTAGCTGTTCTCTTGCAAAATCTGCATAAGTGCTTTTTCCTGTTGACGCTTTTGATTATTTTTTAAAAGGATAAACCAGTGACTAGCACTCATGCGAACTTCTTGAGTTGTAAAAACTGTTTTCTTATCTCCAATGCGTTTCGTGTGACTAACGCACATTTCATCAGGGAGTTTTACAATACAACTAAGAATACCTGTTTTTGTACCTAAAACACGAACTGAATTTTACATTGAACACAAAACAACTAGGGATTTGCGTATGGGAACTTCAAACAACGTGGTTATACCTGTACGAAAAAGACGAAAAAATATTTTGCATGGTGTGACATAATCGTAGTGTTTGGGGCTCACAGTTTTAGCTAAAACTGAGGAGCCCAAAAATTCTTACAATTTACACTTACTTCCCTTTATTGGTCCTGCTTTCTCTTTATGTTACGAGCGCCGTTCCACAGCACATGACGTAAAATTTATGAAAATGCATCACTTTGCTTTTGTCCAAAAATACCCCACACTAGCGTCCACTGCGTTACTGCCTTCCCTCCCCCCGCCCCCCCCCCCCCCCCCCCCC